AATAAATCAGGAACTACAACCTTGTGGCCTCTCTACTGAATATCTAAGTTTATTTGGTTTCAGGGAGTCTATGTGGAAGTAAAATGGCAGATTTTTAATTAAAACCTGCATACCTAAGCTCTTGCTCAGTGTTTTACCTCTTTGACAGCAAACTCTTTTCCCCATCTTACATCTGTTGCCCAAATATAGACAAAACTTTATTCTGGGTAAATATGATATCCATCCATCCAACTTTTCACTGAGAAGCCCAAGGGGATGTATATACTGTTTCCTCCTCTTATTTTCCCCACAACAATAACCCTGTAAGGTAGATTGGGCTGAGAAAGAGTGACTGGCCAAGTCACTCAGCAAGTTTCCACAGCAAAAGGTGGCTCTTTCCACTACCTGGTCTAACACCCCATCATCACTATACCACATTGGCTCTCCATTACAAAGTGATTCAGCTGAACCCCTTTTCAGAAATATTTTAATCTTGTCCTGTGGGGAAGATTGTTTCTATTGACCATATCCCTTTCCACTGACCTTTTTATCTACCTTGGTGTAAGGATCTAATCACGTCACACCAATCATCATAGAAATCCAAAGATTCTGTTCTTTTCCTTCCCACAGGACAACTTCTAGTTGCAAAATTTTGTGCAATTGCCTTTTCAGTCCTTCATAAGAGTATTTAGATTTGGACTGTGGATTTTATTGTAGATTGCTGTATTTAAATTTTCTATCTACAGTATTTTATGTAACAGCCAATAGTAACCATGTTAGTATGGTTATTAACTATGAAATGTAGTGCATAGCATCAGGCTTTATGGCCTTTCTGATTGTACTATTGTATTTATTTTGGTCCAAGCTTGTAACAAAGTCTTTATATATCATGTTTCTTGGCAGCAATATGGAGGTTTGCCACTACTTCTTCCAAGATGGCTTTTCAGTTTCTCAGTCAAGCCAACAGCTTTGGAATTCCAGTGATCCCTCATCCAAGTATTAATCAGGTCCAATCCTGATGAGCTTCCAAGTCCAAATAAGCTTAGCCACGTACTGCCATACATTTACTCTAAAAAAATATGATTTTTTGTTTATTTGTACAGAACATTTTGTGGTATCCTATTGTGTTGTATCCACATAATTTTAGAAGTGGTTAATAGATAATTATAATTAAATAATTGAAAATAAATTAGGATAGAAAGCTGAGTTCTTGCAACCATTCATGCTTCCCTTCAGCTACACATCTTAGCTCTTGGTCTAAGTTCAAAAGCTCTCTGGAACTGATCACTTAAGACATTGCCAAGGATAATCTGTTTGTTTGCCAGCAGCCCAATGGTCTGGGTGGGAGGGAGGGAGGGAGAGAGAGAACAATCTTGC